TCTTCGTCAATGATATAGTCCATAGGCTCAGGTCTACCGTATTCATCAACTGCATTACCGTGCCCGTCTTCGTAGAAAATTTGAAAGCTCATATTGTAATACTCGGTTTTTAATGAAAAAGAGAGCTGACGGTGCTTTCATGTCTAATATACTCATATTTTGTACGACAGGGCTTCTACATATACGACATTCAATTTGTCAGCAAGCGAAATCAGCCAATGGTTTACGTAACAATAGAATTTAACGAACGCGAATTTTACTCTTGGCATCAGTGTCAATAATTTTTGGAAATACTGTATAACTCTACACGGAGCTCTTTTTCTGCATTTTATACGTTACACATACCTATACGAACAATTAAGACATACAGAACTACATAAGACAGCAACAATGACCCATAGTTTACGAGGTCGCAAGCCCACTGTGTCTGCTCTTTCAAATGAGCAGATTCAAAATCTGCATAAGCAATTTGAGACCAAACGTCGCAGGCTCGTCTGTACCAATTGCCAAGCAAGCGGCTCTTTCAACCGCAATGGGACCACAGCTGATGATCCCCCTCAACCTAGTTTCTTGTGCAAAAATTGTGACTTGTACTGCAATGCACATACCATGGCGAACATGCTACAGTCAGTCTCAACAGCAACTGATCTACCCTCTGATTCCTCCGTTCATGAATCAATGGAAATTTCTGGGTCCCAATTCACAAGCTCCGATATCAATGCTCTATCTTCAGGTGTAACTATTGCTGATCTGCAACTAACAATTGAAAAATTGCATGCCGAACTCAAACAGACTCAAGCCGAGCTCAAACAAGCTCGGGAAGAAATCCAAGTTTTGCGCAACCAACAAGTACATACTGATACTTAGCCTGTTTCTGATTCAAATAGTTCTCAATTCCCACCCCTGCCCTCTGCCTCTCAATCGCTCCCTCCCTGGCGCGATCCAGCCCGCCTTAGTCTTCTCAAAGCTTCAATGTTGGAACAACGTCAACAACGACACTTACAACGACAGGAAATCGCTGCCCGATTCTTGCAGCCACCCTCTGAGAACCAAGGTTTCCAATATATATTCGTTCCCACTAAAGCCCGTGTTCCTGTCGGGCAATTACGCACCCGCCTTCGTAAATTAGATATCAATAACAGTCGTATTCTTGGCATTCACTACCCTGCTCGTAACGCTGTGGCCCTTCTTGTCCATAACGATTATGCTCCCGAACTGAAATCTCACCTCCAGAAATTTAAAGTGCGCATTATAGACAATTTTGATCCTTGTGATGGATCGATCCTCATGGACCCTAAATATGACCAATGCTCTAAAGAAGAACGCGACCATCTTGCTCTCAAATCTCATTGTGAACGTGTGAGAAGAGCCCTTTCCTACATCCGTGCTCCAGTTAAGGCAGCCGTAGCTCGTTATTTCTACACCCAAAAATGGATTGACAAATCTACTCTCGATGAAAATATTTCTACCAGAATGAACCATCCAACCGATGTCTTCGAAGTCGATGACGACGTAGTCATGCACCTCTCGAATAATGAAGATAACCACTCACAGCTATAATGAATACTATCAGCATTTCATTATTCAACGCTACTGGTCTACCTAAACATGCTATCTCACCACTCCTTAAAGTAGCTGAATCCTCTTTCGTTCTTTTAATTACTGAATCATGGCTTCTCCCATCTAACAAGTATCCAATATCATGGCAACAATTTCACACCTATGGTCAACCTATCCAATCGAGTATGAATCGAGGTAGTCTTGGTATAGCTCTACTAGTTAACCCTTCCAATCCCTTCCCAGTACAGCATATCCCTCACAAGAATGACATCTTAGCTAAGTATGCCTTGTCTTTCACTATTTCAAAATACCTTGTTCACTGTCTATATTTACCTCCTTCTCTACCACACGCCGAATTTTCCAATATTCTCAACTTGCTTCCTCTAAATATGCCTAACACTGAATCCACCATCATTTGTGGCGATCTCAATGCACGGATAGGCAAAGTTACTGGAGACACTATACATAATCACCGAGGACAGTTACTATACGAATGGATCAATTCTCACAGTATGACAATATGGAATGAACGACTAGCATATGGATCACCCACTTTTATGAACTATTCTGGCAGCAGTATTATCGACTACTTCATTAGTACAACAGAACTGCCATACTCAAACTTAATAATTCGGGACGATCTATCGCTTGGCTCCTATCACAAGTTTATGACCCTATCCTTTCAAGCATCAGCTCCACCTCAGAGGCTCCTCCCACCTAAAAGGATCTTGTGGCACTTGGGCAAGTTAAAAGATGAAAAGTTAAGAGTTCAATACAATAATCGCTTTTCCCATCTTACCAAGGACCTTATACCTACTACTGCTCCCTCCTTTGACAACAGAGCCTCTGCATCGGCATATATTGAAAAACTCAATCACAACCTATGTCAAGCAATCTACCAATCTCTGGATGAGGTCTGTGGCCGTAATACGCGACAATGGTGCAGCCCCCTGCAACAATTCTGGACAGCTGATTTGCAAGAGGCCTTCGAACTTAAGGAGCACTACTATAGAAAATGGCGTAAATCACAAGGGGTGAACTGTCTCAAATACTGGCTCCTTCATCAAGAAACTAAGGCGAAGCTTCGTCGGATGATTCTAAAACGAAGAAGAGACACATGGAAAGAGTTCTGTGATAAAATGGAACAAGGAGAGTATACCAAAGCCATCGCAAAATTATGTAAAATTCGTAAAAATAGAA